CCAGGCTAGTCTCGAATCCCTGACCTCAAATGATCCACCCACTTTGGCCTCCCAAAGTGCTAGTTTTATAGGAGTGAGCCACTGTGCCAGGCACTTAACAATTTTTTATAAAATCAGAGTTGATATTATACTACCTAATCAGTTTTGATTAATGAAAAATGAAATTGTGGTGTTTGCACTTTATCCAAAATTGGTGTCATATTGGCTAAATCAGATCAACGCTTGAACAGAGGCAAAATTAGAGCTTCTTTATCTCGCGACATTATGTTGTTCTTGAAGATGCCATTTCTTTATTGTAGTCTTTATAATAAACAGCTGCTATCATTGCAAACTTGCTGTTTTGGCACATAGGAATTTTTCACTAGAAGGCATGTGAAGAAAGACCAAGGCCATTTGTAATGAATTTAGCATTCATTGTTTGACTGCATGACTGTCCCGGAGCTGTAACTTTACTAATGAATTTTTCAGAACCCTCTTGGCTAGCAACTGAGACTAACCAGCCACTCACCCTCATTATTCAGTGTTCTTTTATTCTTGTCTATTCCTTCTCAAACTTGGCTACGCTCACAAAGTGATAAGAACTTGCATTTCTTTTCTTTTTTATTTTTATTTATTTATTTATTTTGAGATGAAGTGTTGCTCTTGTTACCCAGGCTGGAGTGCAGTAGCATGGTCTGGAATCACTGCAACCTCCACCTCCCGGGTTCAAGCCATTCTCCTGCCTCAGCCCTCCTGAGTAGCTGGGATTACAATAATCCACCACCACAGCCAGGTAATTTTTGTAATTTTTAGTAGAGAAAGGGTTTCACCATGTTGGCCAGGCTGTTCTCAAACTCCTGACCTCAGATGATTCACCTGCCTCAGCTTCCCAAAGTGCTGAGATTACAGGCATGAGCCACCATGCGCAACACGTTTCTTTCCTTTGTACAGACAGGGTCTTGCTCTGTCGCCCAGGCTGCAATATGGTGACATGATCATGACTTACTGCAGCCCCAAACTCCTGGGCTCGAGCAATCCTCCCACCTCGGTCTCCCAAGTAGCTGGGAATACAGACGTGTGCCACCATGACCAGCTGAATTTTTTTAATTTTTTTTTTTGTAGAGGCAGGATATCGCTAGATTGCTCAACCTGATCTCAAACTCCCAACCTCAAGTGATCCTCCTGCCTTACCCTCCCATCGTGCAGGGATTACAGGCGGGTGTGACTACCTGTGCCCAGCCCCTTATTATTATTTTTTAAATAACAGCTTTATAAAAATATAACTCATGTGTCATGCAATTTATTTGCTGAAATCTGCAATTCAGTGGGTTTTAAGAGTATTCACAGAGCTGTGCACTGATCACCACAGTCACTTTTAGAACCTTTCATTACCCTGTAGAGAAATCTACACTCCTTAGCCACTGATTCCTACTCCCTACCACCTGCCTTTGCCCTCAGCCTTAGGCAACCATTGATTGGTTTTCTGTCACTGTGTATTTGCCTAATCTGGACAAATAGAATTGTACAATACGTGATCTTTTGTGGCTGGCTTTTTTTCCTTCTTAGTTCAGTGTTTTCAAAGTTCCTTCATGTTGTGGCTTTTATCAGTAGTTCATTCATTCTACAGCTGAATAAATTCCATGGTAGACACACTGCATTTTGTTTATTCATTCATCAATGGTGGACATTGGGGTTGTTTTCGTGTATTGGCCATTATGAATAATGCTGCTATGAAGATTCCTATACAGAATTTTGTATATATATATTTTTTTCCTCTGAGATACATATTTATTTGTATCTATAATATAGATATATATTATATCTATATAATATATATATTATATCTATATAATATATATATTATATATATATATTATATATATTATATATTATATATAATATATATAATATATTTATATAATATAAATATATTATATATAATATATATATAATATAATATATATCTATAATATAGATATATATTATATAATATAGATATATATAGAATATATATGTCTCCTCTGAGACATATATATTTTTTTCCTCTGAGATACATGCCTAGGAGTTAAATTGTTGCATTATGTGATGACTGCACATTTAGGCTTTTGAGAAACTGCCAGATGTTTTCTAAAGTGGTTAGACCAGTTAGGTGTGATGGCTCACACCTGTAATCCCAGCTACTTAGGAGGCTCAGTTGGGAGGATGACTTGAGCCCACAAGTTCAAGACTAGCCTAGGCAAGATAGGGAGACCCTGTCTTGATTAAAAAAAAAAAATGAAATTAAAATAACAAGAAAAGAAATTCCCAGTGTGGTTATGCCATTTTATGTTCCCACCAGTAATGTATGTGGCTCCAATTCCTCTGCATCTTCTCTGACATTATGTTTTTTCTAGACAGAGGATTGCTCTGTCTCAGGCTGGAGTGCAGTAATGTCATTACAGTTCTCTGCAGCCTTGACCTCTCAGGCACAAGTGATCCTCTCATCTCAGCCTCCTGAGTAGCTGGGAATTACAGATACACAGCACCATGCCTGGCTAATTTTTATATATTTTTTGTAGTGATGGGGTTTTACCATGTTGCCCGGGCTGGTTTCATGCTCCTAGCCTCAATGGTCTGGTCACCTTAGCCTCCCAAAGTTCTGGAATTACAAGCTGAGCCCCTGTGCCTGGCCTTCACTAACATTTGTTATTATCTGTATTTCTTTTCCTTTTATACCTTAAAGCAGTATAAGAACAAGTGTCTTCAATAATAGTAAACAAAAAATATAATCCCAGGGCATTGGGAGGCTGAGGCAGGGGGATCTCTTGATGCCAGGAGTTTTAGACCAGCATAGGCCACCTAGCAAGACCTTGTCTCTACAGAATATTTAAAAATTAGCTGAATGTGCTAGTGCCTGCCTATAGTTTCTCTCTCTCTCTGTCTCTCTCTGTCTCTCTCTGTCTCTCTCTGTCTCTCTCTCACTTTTTGAGACATGATCTGGCTGTGTCACACAGGCCAGAGTGCAATGGTGCGATCATGGTTCACTGCAGCCTGAAACTCCTGGGATCAAATGATCAGTCCTCTCACCGCATCCTACCAAGTACTGCGGACCACAGGTGCATGCCATCCGGTTCTTGCTACGTTGCCCAGGCTGGTCTTGAACACTTGGCCTCATGTGATCCTCTCCTCTAGGCCTCCCAAAGTGCAAAGATTACAAGTATGAGCCACCGTGCCTGGCCCCCACCCTGCCTATTGAGAACCAAAAGAAGGAACTAAATTCTCCTTAGCTCAAGTCCAGCCATTTCCAGGTTTCTTCATTAGGAAGGAGTTGGTTATTGGGCTGTCCAGGCCTCTCAAGCAGCACGGAAATGAGGTGAGTGTGTTTTCCTGCTGCTCCACTCTGCAGAGAGTTGGAGTATGTTTACTCATTTGCAGAGAGAGATGCCGTGTGGGAACCTTAGGATGGAGAAAGCCCTGATTCCAATGTCCTTTATGTATGTGTGTGTGTGTGTGTGTATATATATATACACACACACACTTTATGTTCTAGGGTACATGTGCACAACATGCAGGTTTGTTACATATGTATACAGGTGCCATGTTGGTGTGCTGCACCCATTGACTTGTCATTTACATTCAGAAACAGGATCTTGCTCTGTCACCCAGGATGGAGTTCAGTGGGGCAATCACGGCTCTTTGTAGCCTCAAACCCCCAGGCTAGCAATCCTTCCTCCGCCTTTCGAGTATCTGGGACTACAGGTAAGCGCCATGACACTCAGTGAATTTTGAAATTTTTTGGTAGAGATGGGGCCTGGCTGTGTTGCCAGGACTTGCTTTGAACTCCTGCACTCAAGGGATTTCCTGCCTGGGGCTCCCAAAGTATTGATATTACAAACATGAGCCGTTGTGCCCACCCTCTCTGGTTCTTAGCTTCCTGCCTCCCTCTTCCGTATTTAAAGAACCCTTGTAATTACATGGGCTCACCCAGATACTCCAGGATAATCTTGTTTCAAGGACAGCTGATTAGCAACACTAATTCCATCTGCACTCTTAATATCCCCCTTCCTCTGTAACTGCGCTGTGTAACACAGGACTTGAGCAATTGGTAGGGGGCATTACTTTGGCCACCACAGTGACCGAAGTGATTGGTGGGGGACATGTTAAAGATACAGGGAAGTTTGAGGAAGAACTGACAAGTGAGGTTCCAGAGAGGGCAGGAGAAGAGAATTCCCATAGGGGGATTAGATTAACACTTTCTTTTTTTCTAAGACAGGGTCTCGCTCTGTCACCATCACTGGAGTGCAGTGACATGATCTTGGCTCACTGCAGCCTAGAGTTCCCAGGCTCAAGGCATCCTCCCACCCAGACTCCCAAGTAGCTGGTATTACAGTTGTGCACCACCACCATTCCTGGCTAAATTTTTTTCTTTTTTTGGTAGACACAGGGTGTCACCATGTTACCCAAGCTGGTCTCCAACTCCTGGTACCAATTGATCCTCCTGCTTTGGCTTCCAAAATTGCTGGGATTATAGGCCTGAGTCACCGTGCCTGGCCTCTGCTAGTTGTATATTCTCTAGAGTTGTCTTTATTTATGCTATGGTGTCCCTCATCATGCTGATCCCCTGTTACAATTAACATTTCTTTATATTAAATTTTACATATATATATATGTATATATGTATTTATTTAATTAATTATTTTTGAGACCGGGTCTCACTCTATTACCCAGGCTGGAGTGCAGTGGCACAGTCCCGGCTCACTGCAACCTCCACTTCCCAGGCTCAAGCAATTCTCCTGCGTCAGCCTCCTGGGTAGCTGGGATTACAGGTATGTCCCACCATGCCCGGCTACTTTTTGTGTTTTTTGTAGAGACGGGATGGGGGTGATTTGCTGTGTTTTCCAGGCCAGTCTCAGACTCCTAAGCTCAAAGTGATCCACCCACCTTGGCCTCCCAAAGTGCTGGGATTTCAGGTGTGAGCCACTGCACCCATTGCAGTTTAAACATTTCAGAGGTTTATGTCTCCTGATTGAATTTGGGCCTAGGTTTGGTTATCCAAGGAGCAGTGCCCAGCTCCTTCCCAGCGGGATATGGAATGCTGGTGATTTCCAGGAAGTGACCTCACAGTGACTCAAGCTACCACGTGTTGATTGTGATGAAATGCCAGCTGAGGCACATTCCCTGGGAGCTAAAGGGTGCTACACTTGACCACTGCAGCAGTAAAGATGCCTCCGAAGAATGGCATGGGATGGATCCTTTCAAGTGAACTTGAGCAGGGGTCTCCAACCACAGGGCCACAGAGCTGGAGGTGAGCAGCAGGTGAGTGAGGGGAAACTTCATCTGTATTTACAGCCCCTCGCCATCACTCACATGACCACCTGAGCTCCATGTCCTGTCAGATCATCAGGGACATTAGATTCTCACAGGAGTGCGGAGCCTATAGTGCCCTGCACATGCAAGGAAGCTAGGTTGCACAGTGTTTATGAGAATGTAATGCCTGATGATCTGTCACTGTCTCCCATCACCCCCCCAGATGGGACAGTCTAGTTGCAGGAGAACAAGCTCAGGGATCCCACTGATGATACATTATGATGAGATCTATAATTATTTCATTATATATTACAATGTAATAATAATAGAAATAAAGTGTACGATATAGGTAATGCACTTGAATCATCCTGAAACCATTCCCTCCACCCCCAGTCTGTGGAAAAATTGTCTTCCACAAATTCACTCTGGTTTTTTGGGTAGAGACGGAGTTAATATGTTGCCCGGGCTGATCTGAAGTTGCTGGCTTCGAGCAATCCACCTTTCTCTGTTGGGATTCACTCAGGATGGCGGCAGAAATATTAAAGGAGAATATTAGGGAAAGTTAGAGGAAATAGTCACAAACCTTTAGGAAGGCCGAAAGGTTACCTAGCTTGTAATAATTGAACAGGCTGAAGGCAGCCAGTTCTTACCTTAGAGCATTAGGTCATAGAGTAAATACTAGGGATGGTAGAGGCTTCCCCAGTTAAGGCTGTTTACTCTACCTCCATTAACTAACCTTTGAGCCAAATAGCCCTCTCAGGGGGAGGGCGACCCCAGAGATTGCCCCCGATGGTATTTACTTTAAACCACTGTACCTGAGCTGTAATCGTTCTTAGAACTATTCTCTTAACCATGTTAATTATCCACAAGTGTGTTGATTCAGAGCTTCTGTTGTTAATTGTATACTAAATAAAATGTCTAGAGTGTGAGCTGCTCAAGGCCAGCCACAGTGACAAACCTCTCTTGGTGTACAGGCGGTCAGACACTCAGCTGGACTGGCACAACAGAATATCTGTGTGTTGGTGTACGTTTCATCCATCTGTCGTTTGGGTCTGGGTCTGTGGGCAGAACCCCACAGCTAATACCTTCTGATGAGGAGCCTTACCTCAGCTGGTGCCCTGTGTGAGGAGAAATACAACACTTCTCAGCCTCCCAAAGTGCTGAAATTACAGGGATAAGCCACCTCACTCAACCAAGGCTGAGTTTCCTAAACCAAAGAAAAATTAGGTGAGATTACTTGAGCCCAGAAGATCGAGGCTGCAGTGAGCCCTGATTGCACCATTGCACTCCAGGCTAGGTGACAAAATGAGACTCTGCTTCAAAAACTAAAATAAAATAAAAATTAACCCTCTATGACATTCTAAGTAGTTCTTTCCCTTTGAAGTGTTCCCCAGAAGCCTTTGAATTTTGTTTCATTTTTACATACCAGCAAAAGCTTTTAAGTACTGATGTTTGTGTCATTCCTTTTTTTTTTTTTTTAAGAATGTGTTTTTGTCCCTCTAGCTGGATCAACTACGAAATACTTCAGAGCCCAGGAAGAGAGACTGACTGGACAGCATGTTATTCAGGTATTAAAAGACTTGGACAACAACTCAAAAATGGTCAAATAATAGTGCGTGCATCAAATGCAACGGGAAACTCTTCTGGAGGGTGAGAGAAGCTTCCAGATAAGGGGACATTGAAGCTGAGTCCTGAAAGATGAGGAAGAGTTGTGTGAGAGTGGGGAGAGAAAGTGGTGGTAGAGGGTGGGGAATGGATTGGGATGGAGTGAGCTGCCCAGGCAAGGAAACCAGCACTAGAAAGACCTGGACAATCAAGGTGGCACATTTTGTTCAGGGAATGGTGAATTAAGTGTGGCAGGAATGCTTTGCAGAGAGATTAATTTACTTGTATGGAATTTCTCACTAAACCTCATTACAGTTTCTAATCTTTTGATGTTATCATCCATCGCTGTCCTTGTTAAATAGTTTGAAATAGTTATGATAATCACAATAACACCAAGTGTAATATTTCACTAATCCTCAAAAACACAGGTAGGTATCACAGTTAGCCCCATCGTATGAATGAAGTGATGAAGACTTGGGAGTGAAGAGTGATTTGCCCAAGCTCACATGGATACTAAGACTGAGTCAAATGTTGGATCTGGTCTGACTTTAATGCATGCTTTGTTCATGAGCACCATGTGTTGTTTCTACTTTGCAGTTAAGCACATAGACAGGTAAAAGAAAAGCCTGTATTTCTGTCTGCTCGCACACTTCTGACTGAATGTGAGTGTGGAGTTTCTACATGAAATTCTCCAATGCTCTGTATATTAACTGGGTATCTCCCATTTTTCTTCTGATGCTACCTGGAGTTAGTGCAGACCGCACCGGTCAGGGGCTCAGTCCCACGAGACCACCCTCACTTCAGATGCTAATGGCAAGTCCTGGGTTGTCACCTGTACTTTTGACCAACCAGTTACAAATCAGGGGTTCCCATGACTCCCTTTTTGGGTTTCATCATTTGCTATAACAGCTTACGGAACTCATAACACAGTTTATTTTCTTTTTTCTGAGGGACAGAGTCTCATTTTGTTGCTCAGGTTGGTATGCAGTGGGGCAATCATAGCTCACTGCAGCCTTGACTGCCTGGGTTCAAGTGGTCCTCCTGCCTCAGCCTCCTTGGTAGCTGAGACTGTATGCTTGCACCAACACATCTGGCTAATTTATTTTTTTGTAGAGATGGGGTCTTGTTGTGTTGCCCAAGTTGGCCTTAGATTCCTGGGCTCAAGCGATCCTCCCACCTCAGCCTCCCAAAGTGCTGGGATTACAGATGTGAGTTACCGCATCTGGCCAGTTCATTTCCTATTACTGGTTCATGATAAAGGATACATCTCAGAAACAGCCAATGAAAGAGACGTACATGCTGGATGCAGTTGCTCATGCCTGTAATCCCAGCACTTTGGGAGTCTGAGGTGGGCCTTACCTCAGGAGTTTGAGACCGGCCTGGGCAACATGGTGAAACCCTGTCTTTACAATTTTTTTTTTTAATTACTGGGCACAGTAGTGTGCACCTGTAGTTCCAGCTACTGGGGAGGCTGAGGTGAGAGGATACCTGGAGCTGGGGAGGCTTAGGTTGCATGAGCTGAAATTTTGCCATTGCACTCTAGTCTGCACAACAGAGCCAGATCCTGTCTTGATAAAAAAGAAAATAAAGATGCATAAGGCAAGGTATGTGGGGAGGGACACAGAGCTTCCATGCCCTCTGTCGGGCACAGCACCCTCCTAGCACCTCCTTGTGTTCAGTAACCCGGAAGCTCTGCAAACCCTGTTGTTTCGGTTGTTTCTGGAGGAACAAATAAATGTGACCTTTTCCAGAGAACTTCAGCATCTCTCAGTTGGACTACAGATGATCCCACTGTAGGCATCAGATCTTGAAAACCCTATGCAAGAGGCTGTATTTTATGTCTTTATTCTGGTGCACCCAGCAGGAGTGGGTGGCGTAGCACCGTGGGACAGTCACCCTTTCCATATACTGACAAGCAAGAAATGGTCCTGAGCCACCGTTTCTCTATCTAGAAAACTATTTCACACTACAGTTTACTATAATCAAACTAATATACTGGGAGAGCTTGTTACCAAAATAAATCATGATGGATTTGGTAAAAATAAATATCCTACTCCTAAAACATTGGGAATCCAAGTGTATTTTCATGTGTACAATTTACTTAAAGTGATATTTACCCATAAACTAATTGTCTCATATTAAATGTTAGGACAAGAACTACCTACTTTCATTTGCTGTGGATATGCTTTCCACTTGATTTTTCCGTTGGTTTGTTTTTTAGTTCTGTAGAAAAACATCCCATAGAAGTACAGTGACAATATGCCTGTGTTGTGGGAATTTTAAGGAATCAGAGAGACTGATGGGGTTCAGGAGGATATTTGTTTAGGTGCACCAGCCCAGTAGGATTAACATCCAAAAGACTGAGCCCCGAACAAAGAGCCACGCTCCCTTTTGTTTCGTGGCGGGAGATACATGCAGGGGGAAGTGCGCTAAAGAAGCAAGAAACAAAGGCAGTTAATCAATTGAGGCATGCATTACATCATTTCTTGTTTTTCCAAGGAAAACATGTTTTGCAACTGAGGCTTATCTGTCTTGTGACCTTGTAACTGTATAGCAAGGGAAACAGGGTCCTCATGGAATGCCTGGGAAGGGAGGAGAGATAAGGTTCAGTAACTACAGAAAAACAGGCAGTTAATTTTTGAAAGACTTTAGCTGTCTCTCTCAGGGGGTTGGTTTCAACATGTAACTGAGTTTCTGCTGAATTTATGATTTATACACTTTTTAATTTCCTTTAATTTCTTATTTCACCTGTAGTGGAGATCTTAATTCTGTTCTTCTACTGTTTCTATTCCTCTCTTTTTTTTTTTTTTTTTTTTTTTTTTGAGACAGAGTCTCGCTCAGTCACCCAGGCTGGAGTGCATTGGCGCACGGTCTCTGCTCACTGCAAGCTCCACCTCCCGGGTTCACGCCATTCTCCTGCCTCAGCCTCCCAAGTAGCTGGGACTACAGGCACCCGCCACCAGGCCCAGCTAATTTTTTGTAGTTTTTTTAGTAGAGACGGGGTTTCACCATGTTAGCCAGGATGATCTCAATCTCCTGACCTCATGATCCGCCCGCCTTGGCCTCCCATGGTGCTGGGATTACAGGCTTGAGCCACCGCGCCTGGCCTCTATTCCTCTCTTTCCCAGTACCTTCCACCAGTGGATACAGTATGTTCAGTTCAGTGTGTAGGGGCTGGAGATGCTGGCGTGACTTCATATGTGAATGCTGTCTTCCAGCAGCTGCCTGTGCAACCTGGCCTCCCTGGAGGAATTTCCTTCATCTGTCCTGTTTGGTATGACAGATAATATATGTCTTGCCTGAAAATTGTTTTATGCTTTTTAATTGCTTTCAGAATTGGCTAAAACTAGCCATAACTAGAGGCAATTTAGTAGCTTCTGAAATCTATATAGACGTGTTGTTCATACTCACACATTTTAATAAATCTTCTGTTGTAATAAACTGCCTGTATTACAGATAGACTTGACCTAATGTGATTATTGAACTCCAAAGTTATTCTCAAATTACTTTCCATAAAATTGCTAACATACTTGGTATTTTAGAAATATGCTCCAGCCTGGACAACACACTGAGACCTCATCTCTACACAAAATCTAAAAATTAGCCAGGCATAGTTGCAGGTACCTGTAGCCCAAGCTACTCAGGTGGCTGAGGCAGGAGGATTGTTTGAGCCCAGGAGTTCAGGTCTGAAGTGAGTAGCGATTGTGCCACTGCACTCCAGCTTGGGTGACAGAGCGACACCCTGTCTCCAAAATATATGTATGTTCTATCTCAGAATTTCATAATAATGTGATAGTAGCTTATAATATGGCAGTAATTTTGAGAGTATTCCATGTATAATATGTTGTACTTACTTGTTGTAGAGATCCTGGTATTGCTAGGCCAGTTTTTCATAATCAGTTTTAAATAGATGATTTGTTCGTAGTTACACAAGCAAGACAGTATTGAAGCTGAGTATCTGTAGAATTGTAGCCATGTTCACACACACGGAGTATTCTAAAATAGCAGCGTACACAAGATGCTCATATGTACATCTGTCGAGGTTTGTGTGAAGCAGTAAAATGTTTCTAACAGCGTGTTTCTTTTCTTTCAGTACCATGCTGTTTTGGTTACTGTGGCCTTGTAGTATAGTTTCAAGTTGGATAACATGATACCTCCAACTTTGTTCTTTTTGCTTAGGATTGTCTTGGCTATATGGGATCTTTTTTGGTTCCATAGGAATTTTAGAGTTTTTTTTTTCTTTTTTCTAATTCTGTGAAGAGCAGTTTAATGGAAATAGCATTAAATCTATAAATTACTCTGGGCAGTTTGGCCACTTTCAGGGAAATGTCACTTCTGGGCATGGAGTTTCAGAGGCTGTATGTTTGTGTGTTTTGATTGAAGACTGAGAGTACTTCTAAGGAAGGACACTTCACAGTATGGCCAGCTGTTTCCACTAGTATTTAAGTGTCATGTTTGTGATTGGATGTGAGCTCTGACTCTGTAGTGACCAAATACAGTGTCAGCAGCTGAGGAGTTAAACCTGAATTTTAGGTGAGGTTGAAATTTCACATCCGATCCATTCACAGTGCCTTGCAAGGAGTGCACTGTTGGTCTGCATGGATAGAGAGTCAATTTATGCTTTACCTGTGGCACTTTAAAGAGCACAAATGTCCTAAAATCCCTTCACATTCTTGGAAGAAGCAAATTCACCATCATTGCTGAACATTTCTAGCAGCCTTTGCCCAAGTATTCAAAGTGGAATGAAACCCTTCAGATAGTATTGACCCAATCAGAATGCCAAGTACCGCTTATAAGACAGCCATCATATCTTACCCAGAGCAGGAGTTCCTGATGGGAACTGATTGTAGAAATTGAATTAGGAGGACCCTCGTCAAATAGTGCTCTGTGCTTGAGCTACAATTCTTTAGGCAAAACACTGTGGCGTCCCACTCAGTCCCTGCTCTGTCTTCATACAAGGTAATGGATTACTTAGCATTTATCAGCCTCTGAAGCTCCATGCCCAGAAGTGACATTTCTCTGGATTCAGAGCCTTTGAAAGCTTCGTGGAGTGCTCAATGAGATAGGTGGGTGATTTGTTAGACCTCTGGGCTATTTGGAGTTTCCTTGACTATGGAGCAAATGTTACGTGGTGCCCTGGATGATGAGAAATGATGGTCTCATAGGAGCTTAATCTCAGGGAAAGTCTGTCTCAGTTTGGTGAGCTGTAGAAATTCTTTGGTGTTGGGCAAAGTTCTTAATATTTTATTTTTTGAGAGTCGTGGAACTCTTGAAAATTTGATAAAAGCTTTGGACTCTTGCAGTAGAAAAATGCATTTGCACATAATTTTTCATATGGTCCCTCATAAACCCTTAAGTCCATGGTCTCCGGACTAATAATTGCTAACATCGAACATGAATAATGCATATTGGAGGAACTAGTAGGCATCCTATGCCTAAGAGGCTTGTTGAATAATGCAGTTTCATGCCCTGCTTTTGGCTTTTCTGAGCATACATTCCACTGATACTGGAGAGGTGCCAAAGGCTGTGTATTCATGGTCAAAGCCAGTCAAAATTTGTGCTCAGGCAAAAGGCCTGAGAATTTTCTCATCTGTGGCATAGCCACATGGGTGATGTTTGGTGTTTTTCTATTTTATTACAAACATTGCCATGTAGCTTCTCTTTCTGTCACTGCATAGAAACCAGTCTTGTCAGATTTATCCACATCCTCAATATTTCCAAACCTGACATTTTATTCTTCCTCTTCCGTGGCAGCTTAGCAGCATCTGACATAGTTCCTTCCTTGAAAGTCTTCTCATTCTTGGCTTCCAGTCGGGTTTCCCGCTGCTTCTCTGCCCTCTTCTCCTCAGTCGTCTTTGTAGGCTCCTCCTAAACTGCCTGCATCATAAAGGTTGGGGTGTCCCAGCCCTTTGACCTGAGATATTACTTCATCTCTGTCTTTATTTATTCTTTAAATGGTTCCATTGCTGTGAAAATCTCCTGGATGCTAGTAATTCCAGCCCTGACCGCTAAACTGAATTTTAACTCATATGTCCAGCCACTTACTTGAAAACACCACTTGAGTGAATAAACATCTCAAAATTGATTTGTCCAAATGAAGTTCATGGGTGCCATTTTTGTGAAGTGCCATTTGGTGTTCAAGGAGAGAGGTGACAAGCTACCATCTAAACATTTACAGAACACCCTTGATATACTTTCCTGACTTTGACCATCCGATTTATCTGAAAATGCAGTCAGAGCTTCAACTCCAACATAGATCACCTTTGCATTGGCTTTCTCTGTTTTTGTTTTTGTAGACCACATTGCCTTTTGCTTTTTTTATCTGGTGTAAGGCAGTAGCTTCCTCAAGGGTCTCTCTGCTTCCTCTTTCACCCGTTCGTGTCATTCTTCCACTGGCAACTACAGTGACTTTTCAGGCTTTCATTTCCTCCTAAACCCTATCGGGGGATTGTGACTTCAGAATGAATAGGCTCTTTACCATCTGTGGCCCTTCATTGGCTCCCTGTCTCCTACCCTCAGCTTCGACGCTATGTTGTAGCCAGGCTCAGTGGTTTTCTTTCTGTTTTCTAAATATGTGAGGCTCTTTCCTTCTTTGGAACTAGAGTAGGATTGTAGAGAAAATATGACACAAATTAATTTTTACATGTGTGATTCATTATGTGACTCAGATTACAAGCTCCTTGAGAGCAGAGACCCAATTTAATGCATTTTGTCTCCAACATTCCTGCCTTTGTCTCCAGCCTCCTCCTTTGCTGTGTCTGGGACAGCAACTTGTACTAATTCATTTGACACTGTCTTCTCTTCTCCTTTGCTCCCCTCCCCTCCCCTCCTCTCCTCTCTTTCCCTTCTCCCCCCCCCCCTCCTTGCCCTCTCCTTTCCTCCCCTCCTCTTCTGTTTTGTTTTTCTTTCTCTGTTGCCCAGGCTGGAGTTCAGTGGCATAATTTCAGTTCACTGCAGCCTCCACCTCCTAGGTTCAAGGGATTCTCCTGCTTCAGCCTCCTGAGTAGCTGGGATTACAGGTGCACGTCACCATGCCTGGCTAATTTTTTGTATTTTTAGTAGAGACAAGGCTTCACTATGTTGGCAAGGTTGGTCTACCAACTTAGTGATCTGCCTGCCTCGGCCTCCCAAAGTGCTAGGATTACAGGCATGAACCACTGCATCTGGCCTGACATTTTGTTTCCTGAGCTTTCTATGTATCAGGTTATGATTAAGTGCTCAGAGTTTAATAGATGTTAGATTTTGAGGTTGCTTCTCTCTTAGTTTAGAATACAAGCCATCGCCGGATGAGGATGGGAGTAAGGAGACACCTGTGGCGAAAAATGAGAGGTGTATCTGTGCAGATTTCAACTTGGGTAGAACTTCATTGTTCTAATGAATTTTGAAAACTATTATGGGCTAACATTATTGCTTTGGATTACTAATTCACTAAATAGTGCCTTACTTGCTTGTGAGAGTAAATTTAATTTCCCAAAGTGATCAATTCAGTCCTAGTCTGTAGCTGAGAGAATCAAACTTAATGGAAACTAATGATATTCCTAATAGAGTAGACATCAAGCAAGGTAAACCCCTACTAATCTTCCTCTCCCTGATAAACATCATGTACTAAGAGTTTTGTCTGAAATGCAGTACAACAGTAAATCAAAGCACATTAAAGAGGGAAATACTACCCTTTTAGCAACAGACTACTTTCAGATTTAAACACAACTACTGCCAAGTGTTAGGTGTGAGGTTATGTCTGTTCTGGTGTTAAACTTAGATGTGGAGAATATACTGTTTATCCTTGCTTCAAGGCTTTGTCCAAAAAAAAAAAAAAAAGCACCATTTAAAGCAAGTCTTGCTAGGTCATCACCGAAAGCTTCCTTGCTAATGCAAGTGGAATTAGGTACCAGATATAAACATTGCATAGAAGCTTGGCTGTCAGATTTAGTAAGCAAGCTTAAGCATTTCCTGTAAATTTTAAGTGATAAATTATAAAAGAGCAGAGCAACTTGGCATCTTAGGTGGAGTGAAGATATTGTATTCTGGTTAAAAACTGTAAGGGGCTTACGGAAATGAGTGGCATGGTGTTAGTTATTTTGAAAAGTGTATGTTTCAATTTTCTGCTAAAAAATGTAATCAGAGGAGAAAAATATTCAACAAACACGAGTTTTTTGTTTTTGTTTTTCCTGTTAGAAGAGTGAAGACTGTGTACCCAGGACATTTTTCCCCCCTACAATTTTTTAATTGTGGTAAAAATATATATAACATAAAATTTATTATCTTAGCCATTTTAAGTTTCCCATTCAGTGGTAATAAATACATGTATAAGGTTGCACAGCCATCACCATCATCTATCTCCATATCTCTCTTCATTTTCTAAAACTGAAACTCTGTACCCGTTAAACAATAACTTTCCATTCCCTTCTCCCCCAGCCCCTGGTAACCACCATTCTACTTTCTGTCTCTGATTTTGACTAATGTTTTAAGTATCTAATATAAATGGAATCATAAAACATTTGTTTTTGTGATTGGTTTATTTTACTCCGCATAATGTCTTCAAGTTTCATCCATATTGTAGATGTGACGGGATTTTCTTTCTTTTTAGGACTGACGATCCATCATCTGTGAAGACCACGTTTTGCTTATCCATTTGTCAGTGGACACTTGGATTGCTTCCATATTTTGGATATTGGGAGTAATACAGCTATCAATGCGGGTGTACAAATAATCTCTTGAAGACCGTGTTTTCAGTTCTTTTGAGTATATACTGAGAAGTGCAATTGCTGGATCACATGGTAATTCTATTTTTAGTTTATTCGGGAAACAACATACGGTTTTCTACAATAGCTGTACCACTTCACATTCCCACTAACCATGCAAAAGCGTTCCAATTTCTCCACATCCTTGACAAAACTTGATATTTTCTATTTCTATTTTATTTTATAGATGTCATACTGATGGGTATGGAGTGGTATCTCATTGCAGTTTTGATTCACATTTCCCTAATGACTAGTGATAATGAGTATCTTCTCATACTTATCGGCCATTTTCTATCTTCTTTGAAGAAATATTCCTTTTAAGTCCTTTGCTTATTTTTGAATTAAATTGTTGTTTGTTGTTGAGTTTTAGAAGTTCTTTATATATTCTGGATATTAATCACTTTATTTGCAAGTATTTTCTCCCATTCTGTGGGCTGCACTTTTACGTTGTTGATAATGTATTTAGATGCACAAAATTTGCAATTTTCATGAAGTCTTGTTTGTCTATTTTTAAAATTTTGTTGCCTGTGTTTTTGGTGTCATATTCAAGAAATCATTGCCAAATGCAGTGTTGTGAAGTTTTTATCTTATCTTTTCTTCTAAGAGTTTGATAATTTTAGGTTTTACATTTAAGTCTTTGATCCATTTTAACTTTGTATATGGTATTAGGTAAGGATCCAATTTTCTTCTTTTTCATGTTGATATTTAGTTTTCCCAATGCCATGTGTTTAAAAAATGACATTTTCCCTATTATATGGTCTTGACACTCTTGTTGAAAATCATTTTACCATATATGTAAGTATATATTTTTGGGCTTTCTGTTCTATTTCATTCACCTATATGTCTGTCTTTATGCCAGTGTCACACTGTTTTGGTTATTATGACTGTAGAAAGTTTTGAAAACAGGAATTGTGAATCTTCCAGCTTTTTTTTTCTTGCAAGATTGTTTTGGTTATTTGGGGTTCCTTGAAATCCCTTATGAATTTTAGAATAGATATTTCTATTTCTGTAAAAAGTCATTGTGATTTTGATGGGAATTGCATAAATCTGTAGATTGCTTTGGATAGTATTGACATCTTAACAATATTGTCTTCCAAACTGTGAACGTGGATTGTGTCTCCATTTACTCATGTCTTCTTTATAGTGTTCATTATACAAGTCTTCCATTCTTCTTGGTCAAATTAATTCCTAAATATTTTACTCTATTTTTGGGAAACTCTGTGATGAGTGGTGAGCCAGGACTAAAGATCAGATTCCCAACTATTCATTCCCACACCTTGACTGTTGCTTATCTCAGCTGATTCACTAGATTCCGTCACTAGCCACAAGTTTCTGTCAGATGGGTCAATTTTAAATTACAAGCAAAAAGCAGAAAAGAAAATTGGATAACTACTTTGTAGCAAGTGGGATTTTATTCTTAGTTAGATTTATCTTTTCTTTGTATTTGCTTGTGTCTGTGAATTCTGTTTCAGTGGAAAGGAACTGTATTAAGTTTTGACCTAGTATCAGTATCTGAGTAATTGACCTAATGAGATTTGGATTTGACTGGGAGATTAGCTGCTCCGCTAAATATGATGAACAAATAAGGGCAACTTTTCTCCTCCTGAAATTTCTAAAAACAATTTCCTCGCTCATTTTTTTTTTTGGTTTTCATGTTTCATTCACCATGTGAAAGGCTGTGACCCCAGTGTATGAGGAACCCCTTGTCCGAAGCAGTTGCTGCTCATGGGACAGGCAGATCTCTATACAGGAGCACTCATTTCTAGAGTGCAGCCTTGTCATTGCTGTGAAGGAAAATGCCTAATGCTCAAACCAGGGGCTACTTAGGCTTTCCCAGAATTGCCGTTTCTTAGATTTTGTGATTAAATTGATGAGGTAGATACTCTGTCCTTAAACTAGGAAATCACGTCCTCTGAATTCTGTCTAACTTAATTGAGTCCTGCTGTGTTACTAATCCATGTTAATATGGTCTTTTTCCTTTAACATAGTTTCCCTGGATGCTGAACATGGAGCCTTACAGTTTCTAGAATGGTTTGGCAGAATATCTCTTTGGAAATTGGTGAAGATAGGTGAAGTATAGATCCAGGAAGGTGGAGGGTCCCCACAAAAAAAAAAAAAGTGCCTTCATAGAAGACTGTGCACTTCATGTCATCATATACAATGGGCAGCACACACAGGCCCCTGCTATTCTTTTATGAGGGACAGGTTGGGAGGGTCTCTGCAGGTGGTGCTTGCTCACTGGCCACCAGCCTCTCCCCTGCTCTCTCTGCCTCCCTTATCATCCACACTCACCTTCATGGTACAGGACACGTTGACTTTGTTCTTTGACCTCATTTCATTCTGAATTTTTAAAGCTTAATGTAGCTGGCTTTATCCCTTCAATTTGAAAAGTTATTTTAGAAATTGAAATAATTATTGCCACATTTTTCTTAGATGTTTAAGATCATGGTTACCTACTTTATTTGTAGACATTGCATAGAGATAAATGCTGGGGACGAGGGTGTTTGTTTTTAACCTTAATGTGTTTGTCTGATCTCTGAGTTCTAGGGGTTGTGGAAAAGGAAAGTGGTATAAAGTAAATGACACAGTGACAGAAGAATTCGACCTAAATAATGAGATTCCGGAGTGCGAATGCTTTGGTGAAGAATATAGACCAAAATTTTATGATCAAGGTAAGGATATACAAATGGATAGCTTACATTAGTTTTGGTTTTTAATTTAATTTTCTACAAAAATAATTAATTAGAGAACATATTTTTTAGCACCTGTACTTTTAACACCATATTCATTAGTGTGGCAAAGCAGTCTTTACCTCCAATCTCCCCACTCCTAGGACAAAAAATATATATATCAGGGAAAGTATATCAAAAACCCAAGCACAGTTAGCTATTTGAAAGCCATTTTGCCGAGATCTTAGCATTTCTTAGCAAATAATTTTGAGATATTCTAGGGGCATTTAGAAATTTCTTCCTGTATTAGATTCACTATATTAGAGTTCTGTATTGTGCCACTGTAATCATGCATTCAGTGCTAATTTTTAAGGGTCAAATAAAGTATGATTGCCAGAATTCACCCTAATATCAACCTCCAAAGGAGGGATTGATTTTATCACCAGAACTGAGGTCCCCTAACTTCCACTATAAGCAGTAACCTATAAAAAAAACCCTCCTCATTTTACTTACACTTTGCATTTAACATATTTAGTGAGTAGTTACTTGCTGGATTCTCGGGCCCTTTGTTTTAGATTGTCAAGACAAGAAAACCTTTTTCATTTAGACTTCTTAATGCTGTGCTGTAAAGCAAACACATACACTTGTGTATGTCAATGATATAATCCCACATGCTCTTCCACCAGGGAGGTCTGATGAGAACGCCGGGGGTCACCAAAGAAGACTCAAGTTAGCTGTGTACAGCAGGAAGCCGAGGACTTCTCACTGTAAGTTGCTTTTCAATTGTGAATACAGAATATCGGAGACAGGTCTCAATGAATTTGGAAAGTTTAGTTTGCCAGGGTTATGGACGTGACACAGCCTATGGAGGTCCTGAGGACATGTGCCCAAGATGGTTGGGGTACAGCTTGCTTTAATACATTGTTGGAAGTTGTGAGACATCCATCAATATGTGTAAGATGTACATTGGTTTTGTCCAGAAAGGTGGGACAACAACTCGAAGCATGGGCGGAGGCTTCCGGGTCATAAGTAGACAAGACAAATGGTTGCATTCTTTCGAGTCTCTGATTAGCCTTTTTCTGATTACACAATTTACATGTAAGAGGAGGGTAAAAGAATCTTCACTTATGCCTTAGTCTAGCTTAGTGAAACGATACAGCAGAAGAAGCAATGAGATGTGCGTTTGTGTCAGGTGAGCAGAGAGATGGCATTGTGCTCTGTTCATCCTTTGCCCACAAGAAAATTACCTCAGGGCAAATAGTGAGGGAGTTACGGAGCTTCCTTATCTTTGTAGCATCTTATTTAGTAATACATTGGGAGCAAGTTTGCTGGATGCAGTTCCCAGCTGTCTTCCTTTTGGATTAGTGAAGATTTATTTTATTGCATACCAAAAACTTGCTGTGTGATTTAGTAGGTGTTAGTGTGGTATTTGAGAATGTAGTATTTGGGATTTGAAGATAATTAGCTAAACTAGAGAGAAATTCCTAAACTAATTCTAAAAGGAAAATAAATAAATCCCTTTTCTTTATTATTGCTTCCTGGTCATTATTTCCTTGGCGATAACTTACTTTGTATTTAGAAACATGCACATACGTTAGGGCCTTCTAGATTTGAGATTTTAAAAAAGTTTACGCTAGAGGTTCTTTTAAACATGTTGGCGTCATTTAGTGAATTCCACTTCGTGTCCAAAACACACAGCACTGTGCTGACACTCTCAGAATGTTGTCGCTTTTTAAAGCCCCTGCTGTCAGTGAATTTGCCTTTTAATATATTGTATCAGGAAAGTATCTGATTTACTTTTTCATGTAAAACTGTGTTTAAGTGTGGTTTATTACGTTTGAAAACTTTGTTGAATAATTATTATGAGAGTTTGCATGTGTGGCTCTAAAATGAGTTTGTTTCACTGCTCTTGAATGGTCGTAATGGCTGGAAAAAAAACCTCACACTAACATGCAGGAAGAATTTATTTTCATGCTTCCTAAGTTATGGTACTCAGTTTTAAATCCCATATGCCAGTTAAGTTAAAATGTGTCCTGCAAATTTTTAATTTTTTATAATGTCACTCAGTTCTCCAAAGTAATTGAAATATACTAACTTTTTAATTATTTAATTAAAACATTATAATTCTGTATATTGGATGGGTACAGTTTGATGTTTTGACACACATGACACATTGTATCATGATCAAACAATTTAAGTCTCATATCCTGTTCATGTGAGTTTGGCAAGTTTTAAAACTACTAAAACAATAGCCACTTTCTGCTAGACAAAGTTTTCTCATCCTATCTAGTCAGCTCCATCTTCAGCAGTTTTTGTGTCCGTCATCTCCTTGGTCCCATGGGCCTGATAATGCCTGGGTGTCTGTTCTAACCCAGCTGATTTTAAAAGGCAAGAAGAAAGGACTATTTGGAGAAAATGCCTGTTGGAATATAGTAGGTAAGAATCCTGTGAAAAATTCTAAAGGGGAGAATTCAGGTAGATGTCAGAGTGTATCTGGTAGATCCAGAGGTACTCCCACTGGTCTTTTTCTGGATTAGTTGTAGGCTGCAGAGATAGGTGTAGAGCTAGTGCCATGGAGTGCTAAGGACACAGATGTGAATACACACCAAGATTGGCCAGCACCATCACTGAGCTGCTGTGTGATATGAGATGACACCAATAAACAGAGGCATGGGGACTAGGCAGTAAGGAAATACATTGGTGAAACTAACTTATCTGGTGAGGAGAACAATTGAACACTCATAATCATTGGGTAAAGACTAACAGGGTGATGATAGACATTATTTATTGTATACCTCCTCTGAGCCACATGCTTTAAGCAAATCTTCAATTCTGAAAAGACTCGTGGAGTGGTGGGTTGTTATTTCCATTTTTCGGATGGAAAAACTGCAGTTCAGAAAAAAAGTGAACAGTCCGTGTCATAGAGCATGCATTTAAATTCAGAACTATATGCCCAGTCTAGACTTTATACACTAATGAAACAAAAACTCAAAAGCAAGAAGCAAATAATTAAAATATATATATATACACACATATCTGGCTGGTTTCAGTGGCTCACACCTGTAATCCCACCACTTTGGGAAGCTGAAGTTGAGGTGGAAGGATTGCTGGAGGCCAGGAGTTGGGGATGGAGTTGGGAAAAATATAGCCAGTTTTGGTGATGTGTGCCTAGAGTGCCAGCTACTCCAGAGGCTTAAGTGGGCAGAAGTTCAAGGCTGCAATGCGCTGCACACCACTGCAATCCAGCCTGAGTGACAGAGTGACACCTCATCTCAAAAATAATTTATATAAATAAATAGAGCTGCAGGTGGAAAGGTGGAGGGGAGTATGTGGTGAATCCAGGCAGAAACCAGAGCCAGACCCAAAGGTGCCATGTGTGCTGATTGATTTAAGCTCAGGAGCTGTGAGGGCCATGGAGAGACCTTACATGGGGATTGATGTGATCTAGTTGACCTACTGACATAGCCCTGACTAGCAGGACCGTGGAGGGGATGGGCAGGAGGGAAAGAGAGTAGTTGAAAAGCCCATCAGACTAATCCAGGGAAGAGAGAACAGGGCCCTGCTGAGGCTTTGGGAGTGAGGATGGCGGTGAGAGGCGGGTTTAGATGCTGCTTGGAGGGTGAAATGATGTGGGTGGAGGTGCAGATGCTTCCACGTGCATAGTGGAGTCTTACACTGAGGGAGGAACAGGTGAGACAAATGTGAAGGAATCAACAGGACTTGTGCCTCCCTAAATGTGTGGAGTGAAGGAGAGACTGGGGGTGACTCCTGGGCTTCTAATGTGGGAGAGAGGATGACTGTGTTGCCTTGTGCTGAGACACAAGACTGTCTAGAGTAGCAGAGGTTTTGGAAGAAGGTACAGGGTAACCTGGCTTTCCACCTAGTGAGTGTGAGGTGCCTGTGGGTTGTCCAGGGAAGGGAGATGGGAGGTGGTTTTGTACGTGGTTCTGAAGCTTCATTTAAGGCCCAGTAGCCTAGGGGGAGCTGATGTGGCAGGCCCGGATGTGACTGCCCATGGAGCGTGCACAGTGATGAGAAAGGAGGGCAGGGCTGCCTCATCAGGGGAACACCATGGGCCCAGAGGCTTCCACAACCCTGAGCTTTCGAAAGGTCTATGAGGTCAGAAGCCTGAGTAGAAACCTTTAGCTTGTTAGAAAGAAACCAAAATAGCAACAAAAAACCAACACATAGCAATCCTGCAAAATACAGTTATGTTTCAAAAACAAAATTAGAAAATGATATTCAACCTCTCATTTCTACAGTGAAAATGTTCCATGAGGCGTGGATGTGTTTTAATATATTTAATACATCTGATGTGATGTAGGCGAGCCCCTTCCAAAGACATCGCTCCTAAAGTCTATAGAAGGAGGTAGGGTGTGAGAAGGTAACTTCTCCTTTAATGAGCCCCACATGCCACTCTGGTATTTCCTCCATCCTGCAAGCATCCCCTCCCCCTTGCAGAGGCCATCCATGTGATGCTGCATGCAGTGTTTGTGGGTTGGCAGCACTTTGAAGTGCGGTTCCCACAAGATCTGGTCTTGATGGACATCATCTGGGATTGTTCTCTCCAGTTCCCACAAGATCTGGTTCCGATGGACGTCATCTGGGATTGTTCTCTGTGTTTCCCACAAGATCTGGTCCCAATGGACGTCATCTGGGATTGTTCTCTCCAGTTCCCACAAGATCTGGTCCTGATGAGCCTTATCTGGGTTTGCCTTCTCCCTCAGGAGTCTCACCGTGGCCTCCATGCTGCTTGGTCTGGTTAGGGAGTTCCCACAGTATCTGGTTCTGCTGAACCTCATCTGGAGTCAACTTTTCCCTCGGGTGTCCCACTGCAGCCTCCATGCTGCTCTGTCTGATCAGGAGCACTCTGGGTGCCCTTGTGCTGCCTGCCTGCTCCTGGGTCTTCTGCCGACTCTAGGCAGTGGCATCACACGCTGTCTCCTGGCAGGTGTCCCATGAGGGGGAGTAGATCTCGGTGTTGTCACCCATTCCCCTGCCTCCACCCACCCTGCCCACTCCCCTCCCAGCTCTCAGGATCTTATTTCACACCCCACCTCCTTCCATCGCTCAACTCACCTGCCTGTGCTTCTCAGCACCTGCCTGGTCACTGGAACCGCCTCTGGACACCACCTACAAAGGACTCACAGCCAGGTGGCAGGCCAGGAGGTAGTGGACATACGATTGAATCTCATCTTGGCCAGTCATTCCCTGAAAGAGATTTCGTAAGGGGTCAGAAACCTCTCCCTACTTAAAAGCAGATGTCCAGAATCCAAACTGTGTGTATCTCAGACGGAGTAGCTCTCCATTCTAATTAACATGGTGACTTGAGAGTTTTATAAATGTTCGTTATAAACTACACATAAAACTCACCATCTTAGGCATTCTTAAGTGAGTAGTGCTAAGAACATTTTCTTTCACACACATTAAACAACTCTCCATTTCCCGTCCCTCCAGCCCCTGGCAGCCACCATTTTACCTTTTGTTACTATGAATGACTCTTCTAGATACTTAATGTAATACTGTTTACTTTAAAAGAACCAAAGTATGCCTAGCATTGAGAAATTAGCCACCCCCTGGATTTAGCGAGTGCCTAAACACTGACTTTAAAGCCTGTGCTCTTCCCTACCATGTGTTCCTTCATTCATTCGGGACACAGTGTGCTTCAGGATGCGCTGGGTGTCTGGGAGACAGTGTTCGATGTGTTTTACTATTGACTGGTTTTCCATTTATTAGTTTCTTGGAGTTTATTATTTTGAGAATTATGTGTGCTACAAATATCTTTTCTCTCTTTGTGGCTTGCCTTTTTAGTCTCTTAATGCTGTTTTTTTGAGACCAAAAATTTAAATACGGTCGAATGTATTAGTCTTTCACTTTATGGTTATTGTTTCGTAAATGCCATTCATGACATCTTTTCTTGATTTGATGTCCTGAAGATATATATATTTCTGTGTTACCTTCTAGATCACTGCCATCCAATAAAAATTATGAAGTGAGACACATATTATCTAGACTAAATATTATCTAGTATCCACATTGAGAGAGAAAAGGGAATCCAATAAAGCTAAGTTTAATAGTGTTTTATTTAACTCAGTATATACAAATTATTATAATTTCAAACTTTCAATATAAAAATTATTGAGATATTTAACATTGGTTTTTCCTACTGTTTAACATTCCAATGCAAGTGTTCCGCTTATTGGCACATCTCAAGTATTCAGTAGCCATGCATGGGCAGAGCAGTCGTAGAATATTTATTGCTTTTACTGTTTCACATTAGACCTGTCTTCTACCTAACTGATTTTTGAGTGTAGTGTGAAGTGGGAATCTCGCTTGATTTTTTTTTTTTTTTTCCAAATGAGTAACCAACTGACCCAGCACCACTTAGTTGAAAAGGCAATCTTGTCCCCACTGTTCTGTCTGCTGCAGGAGTCTTATTTTTATTTATTTATTTATTTATTTTTGAGACAGAGCCTTGCTCTGTCACCCAGGCTGGAGTGCAGTGGCAAGATCTTGGCTCACAGCAAGCTCCGCCTCCTGGGTTCCCACCATTCTCCTGCCTCAGCCTTCTGAGTAGCTGGGACTACAGGCACCTGCCACCACGCCTGGCTGAAAATTTTTTTGTATTTTTAGTAGAGACAGGGTTTCACCGTGTTAGCCAGGATGGTTTCGATCTCCTGACCTCGTGATCTGCCCGCCTCGGCCTCCCAAAGTGCTGGGATTACAGGCGTGAGCCACCGCTCCTGGCCTGCTGCAGGAGTCTTAAAGAAAGTGTCCACATGTCTGTGAGTGTCGTTCTGGTCTCAATTCTGTGCCACTTGTCTACTTGTCTATGCTTTCGCCACTCCTATGCTATCTTAATTACTATAATTTTCGTGCTAAGTTCTGATATCTGGTAGGGAAAATGTCTTTTTATGAGAGTGTTGGCTAACCTTGGCTTTTTGCATTTCCATATAAATTTCAATTGTCAAGTTCTCAAAAATATAGTGGGATTTTGATTGAGATTCTTGATGTTGTCTGATGGAGAATCTAGATAACCAGTGGAAAAGAGGCCTTTTGTAAGCATCATCAGTGCATGTCCTACAGGCATCTGAGTGGGATCTGGACGGGCTCTTGCTTTGCAGACTCTGCTCCCCTCCCCATTGTGAGGTAGAAGCAGCTGATGAAAGAGGCTCAGCCCTTTGTGCTGTGATAAGGGCACAGTGGAGGGCCCCACCCCCTACTGCAGGAGACATTTCTCAAGGACAGAACATCTCTACCATGGTTCTAGAATCCTAGGGTGAATACAAATAAATTCTGGGATAAGCCAGGCAGCAAATACATAAACAAAACCAACACTGAGTTTCCACCGATAGTGGGGGCCTTGTGCCCTGTGAGCTCTCAGGGGTCACTGTTATTGCACTCAGTTTAACCCAGGGCAGGACTTACCTTCCTTGAGAACAGGTTAGGTGTTTCCCACTCCTCACTCCCCTCTGCCTTCTCTGTCACTGGCCCCGTGGTTTGCTTTGTGGCTGTAGGCTGAGTTCCATGGAGAAGCCAGAAACAAATACAGAGGCTCATGCAGGCTGGCTGATCAGGCAGGGGAGGAAAGGAGCAGACTGTTTAGAGACAGAAAATTGTTAGAGGTATCTCTGGTCTCTGAAGAGTATTAACAGGATGGGAATAAAGGCAAAGTACAGATGACAGTAGGGTGACCATGACCTGGTCATGGAGAAGGGCTCTTGTGACTTACTGAGGCTGAATGCTGGTTTGCCACCGTCTTGCATTTCCTTTGTCCACCAGGCCAGGCTGCTGAGAACCCACAGTCCTGGCCATCCTGAACTGTACCAGAACTGCCCCAGGAGCAGGGAAACCATCTCCAAGATGAGATTTGTGAACTGTCAGGTCTGGTGGAGATGGCGGGGCTGGGGCTGGGGACTAGAAAGAAGTAGGGCTAAGGAGGAGGAGTAGAGTCATAGGTAGAGGCATCCCAGGAAACAGCTCTGGGACGACAGTGTTTGCAAGCAGGGCTAGGAGGAGGAGTAGGGGGACAGATAGGGGAGTCACAGAAAAGAGTTCTGGGACCAGAGTGTTGGCAAGGAGGGCTAGGAGGAGGAATAGGGGAACAGATTGGGGAATCACAAGGAAGAGTTCTGGGACCCCAAAGTTGACCAGTAGGGCTAGGAGGAGGGCTAGGGTGATGGATAGGGGAGTTTCCAGAAAGAGATCTGGGACCAGAGCAATGACAAATGGATGGTTTGTAACGAATAGCAGAAGAGCAGGGCAGGTAGAGTATTAGGGTAGGGTAGTGGGGAGGGCAGGTATGAGCCACAGTGGGATAACAGTTAGGGCAGAAAACTGAAAAATCCACATGCTTCTGGAGAGGAGGAAGGGGCTTGGCAGATTGAAGAAGGGGGAGGGATTTGTGAGCACAAGAGTAGGATGGCTTAAGAGAGTGGGATGTATTAGGAGGGCAGGATGGATCAGGAGGGTGTGGAATCATAAAACCAGGTACCAGGCAGGGTGGAAATTGAGAAATTGGAGGGAGCTTTCCTGTCAATTCTTCCAATGAGAATTCTAGTTAATCCCTTCTCCCAGTGAGTCCAAATGAGTACGTGGGATGTGCCCAGACCTACCCCAGCATTTATAACATGCCCACCCCTTGCATCATACCATGTCTGAATGCCCATTATGATGCCTGTGTGCCCCTCTCTTTTGGTCTAGGGAGAGGGCCCCACCAACTAGAGAACGGATCCCAGTTTCTAGATGTAAGAGCGATCATGGAAAATAGCAGAGAAGAAATGGGGGCTGTAATATTAGTCCCTTTTCTGGGGATACCATGTAGTTATGCCCCTCAGTAGGCAAAGTTTGATCAAAGGTCCAAGATGGAGCTAGGGACTGGGGGCCTAGGAGAGTGGTTCTGAAGCAGGACTTGGGAAAATGGGAAGAAGTCAGTGCCCTTTCACTTACTACAATTTTCAAAGCACTTTCACATCATTTATACTTCTGCATGAATATTTGTGATTAGAGGAGCGATGTGTATTCATTAGATCAATGAGGACACTGAAGACCAGAGAGGAAGCTGCCATAAACAGGCAGTGGGTGACAAAGCAAGTGGGACTAGAACTTGGGCCGAAAGGAGGGGCAGGTGGGAGGGAGCCAAAAATAGCCCAGAATGCTGACCAGTGGCCTCCCTCCTCCTGGCTCTCTGGACAGGATCCTGCCTGCAGGGGGTGCTTCAGAGCACAACTGTACTTTTCATAGTAACCTCTTGATCCTTGTGCCCCTGTGGTTTTATGCCTTACTCTTAATGGGAACCATAAACATAGTTCTAAGGAGGCTGGGAGGTCTGGACTGGGTGGAATTCACCCCAGCATGGCAAAGCAGCTGTGGCCAGACTACTTCTCTAGATTCCTCCTCACTGGACAGGGCATCTCTGAAGGAAAGGCCCCAGTCAGGGGCTTACAGATAAAACTCTCATCTCCCTGGGACAGAGCACCTGGGGGAAGGAGCAGCTGTGGGCGCAGCTTCAGTGGATTTAAACTTTCCTGCCTGCCGACTCTGAAGAGAGCAGCTGATCCTGACAAGTGGGATTCTCCCAGCACAGCGCACCAGCTCTGCTGTGGGACAGACTGCCGCCTCAAGTGGGTCGCTGACCCCTGAGCCTCCTGACCAGGAGAGACCTCCCAACAGGGGTTGAGAGACACCTCATACAGGAGAGCTCTGGCTGGCATCAGGTTAGTGTCCCTCTGAGATGCAGTATCCAGAGGAAGGAGGAGGCAGCAATGTTAGCTGTTCTGCAGCCTCCGGTGTTAATACCCAGGTGGACAGGGTCTGGAGTGGACCTTCGGCAAACTGTAGCAGACCTGCAGAACAGGAGGGGCCTGACTGTTAGCATAAAAGCTAAGAAACAGAAAGCAACACTATCAACATCAACAAAAAAGACCCCACACAGAAACGTCTTCCAAAGGCCATCAGCATCAAAGATCATAGGTAGATAAATCCACGAAGATGAGGATAAAACAGTGCAAAAATGCTGAAAATTCCAAAACCAGAATTCCTCTTCTCCTCAAATGAGAGCAACTCCTATCCAGCAAAGGCACAAAACTGGACAGAGAATGAGACTGACTAATTGATAGAAGTAGGCTTCAGAAGGTGGGAATAGCAAACTCCTCTGTGCTAAAGGAGCATAGACTAACCAAATGCAAGGAATCTTAGAACCTTGATAAAAGGCTACAGGAACTGCAATCTAGAAGAATCAGTTTATAGAGGAACATAAATGACCTGATGGGGCTGAAGAAACCCAGCACAGGAACTTTGTGAATCATGCACAAGTACCAATAACTGAATTGATCAAGCAGAAGAAAGGATATCAGTGATTGAATATCACTTTGCTGAAATAAGGCATGAAGACAAGATTAGAGAAAAAAGGAATGAAAAGGAATGAACAAAGCCTTCAAGAAATATGGGACTATGTGAAAAGGCCAAACCTATGATTGATTGGTGTACCTGAAAGTGATGGGGAGAATGGAACCAAGTTGGAAAACACACTTCAGGATTTTATACTGGAGAACTTCTCCAACCTAGCCAGACAGGCTAACATTTAAATTCAGGAAATAGAACCACTACTAAGATAATCCTTGAGAAGAGCAACCCCAAGTCATGTAATTGTCAGATTCTCCAAAGTTGAAATGAAGGAAAAAATGTTAAGGGCAGCCAGAGAGAAAGGTCAGATTACCTACAAAGGGAAGTTCGTCAGACTAACAGCAGATCTCTCTGCAGAAGCCCTACAAGCCAGAAGAGAGTGGGGGCCAATGTTCAACATTCTTAAAGAAAAGAATTTTCATCCCAGAATTTCATATCCAGCCAAACTAAGCTTCATAAGGAAAGGAGAAATAAAATCCTTTTTAAATAAGGAAATGCTGAGGAATTTTGTCACCACCAGACCTGCCTTACAAGAACTTCTGAAGGAAGTACTAAATATAGAAAGGAAAAACTGGTACCAGCCACTGCAAAAACACACCAAAATATAAAGACCAAGGAAACTATGAAGAAACTACATCAACTAATGTTCAAAATAACCAGTTAGCATTGTGATGACAGGATCAGGTTCACACATAACAATGTTAACCTTAAATGTAAATGTTTTAAATTCCCCAATTAAAAGACACAGACTGGCAAATCGGGTAAAGAACCAAGTCCCATCAGTGTGTTGCATTCATTCAGGAGAACATCTCACATGCAAAGACACACATAGGCTCAAAAGAACGGGATTGGGGAATATCTGCCACACAAATGAAAAGCGGAAAAAAAAAAAAAAAGCAGAGTTGCAATCCTAGTCTTTGCTAAAACAGGTTTTAAACTAACAAAGATCAAAAAGACAAAGAGGATCATTACATAATTATAAAGAGATGAAGGAAACAAGAAGAGGTAACTATCCTAAATATATGTGCACCCACCCAATACAGGAGCACTGCGCTTCATAAAAGAAGTTCTTAGAGACCTACAAAGAGACTTAGACTCCTACATAATAATACTGTGAGGCTTTAACACCCCACTGTCAATATTAGGCAGATCAAGGAGACAAAATATTAACAAGGATATTCAGGACTTGAACTCAGCTCTTAACCAAGCAGACCTAATAGACATCTAGAACTCTCCACCCCAAATCAACAGAACGCATTCTTCTCAGTGCCGCATAGACTTATTCTAAAATTTACCACATAATTGGAAGTAAAACACTCTTCAGCAAATGAACGGAAATCATACACAGTCTCTCAGACCACAGGGCAATCAAATTAGAACTCAGGGTTAAGAAACTCACTCAAAACCACAGCCTGTTCCTGAATGACTACTGGGTAAATAATGAAATTAAGACAGAAATAAAGAAGTTCTTTGAAAACAGTGAGAAAAATGTACCAGAATCTCTGGGACACAACTAAAGCAGTGTTAAGAGGGAAATCAGAAAGCTGGAAAGATCTGATATCGACACCCTAACATCACAATTATAAGAACTGGAGAAGCAAGAGCAAACAAATTCCAAAGCTAGCAGAAGACAAGAAATAACTAATATCAGAGCAGAACTGAAGTAGATAGAGACCCGAAAAACCCTTCAAAAAAATCTATGAATCCAGGAACTAGTTTGTTGAAAAGATTAACAAAATAGACAGACTGCTAGCTAGATTAATAAGAGAGATGAATCAAATAAACATGAGAAAAAATGATAAAGGGAATATCACCACTGATCCCATAGAAATGCAAACTACCGTCAGAGAATACTTATAAACACTTCTATGCAAATAAACTAGAAAATCTAGAAGATACGGATAAATTCCTGGATGCATACACCCTCCGAAGACTTAACCAAGTAGAAGTCGAATCGCTGAATAGACCAATAATACATTCTGCAATTGAAGCTGTAATTAATAACCTAGAAATGAAAAGAAGCCCAGGACCAGTCAGATTTACAGCCAGATTCTACAAGAGGTACAAAGAGGAGCTGGTACCATTCCTCGTGAAACTATTCCAAACAATAGAAAAAGAAGGGCTTCTCCCTAATTCATTTTATGAGGCCAGCCTCATCCTGATACCAAAACCTGTCAAAGACACAACATAAAAAAGAAAATCTCAGGCTGATATCCCTGATGAACACTGATGCAAAAATTCTCAATGAAATACTGGAAAACAAATCAGCACATCAAAAAGTGTATCCACCATGATGAAGTTGGCTTCATACCTGGGATGCAAGGCTGGTTCAATATATGCAAATCAATAAACATAATCCATCACATAAACATAACCAATGACAAAAACCACATGATTGTCTCAATAGGTGCAGAAAAAGCATTTGATAAAATTCAGCATTCCCTCATGTTAAAAACTCTCAGTAAACTAGGTATTGATGAAACATATCTCAAAATAACAAGAGCTATTTAAAACAAGCCCATAGCCAGTATCGTACAGAATGGGCAAATGCTGGAAGCATTCCCTTTGAAAACTGGCACAAGACAAAGATGCCCTCTCTCATCACCCCTATTCACCATAGAATTGGAAGTTCTGGCCAGGGCAATCAGGCAAGAGAAAGAAATAAAGGGTATTCAGATAGGAGGAGAGGAAGTAAAATTGTCTCTTTTGCAGATGATATGATTATATATTTAGAAAACCCCATCATCTCAGCCCAAAAACTCCTTAAACTGATAAGCAACTTCAACAAAGTCTCACAAAATCAATGTGCAAAAATCACAAGCATTCCTATGCCCCAATAATAGACAAGCAGAGAGCCAAATTATGAGTGAACTTCCATTCACAATTGGTTCAAAGAGAACAGAATACCTAGGAATAAAATTGAAAAGTGATGTGAAGCACCTCTTCAAGGAGAACTACAAACAACTGCTCAAGTAAATAAAAGAGGATATAAACAAATGGAAAAACCTTCCATGCTCATGGATAGGAGGAATCAATGTCATGAAAATGGCCATACTGCCCAAAGTAATTTATAAATTAAATGCTATTCCCATCAAGCTACCATTGACTTTCTTCACAGAATTAGAAAAAAACTACTTTAAATTTCATATGGAACCAAAAAAGAACTTGTATAGCCAAGACAGTCCTAAGCAAAAAGAACAAAGCT